AAACCGACTTTCAAGTGGGGGGTGGTCTCCTTTTCACTTCGATCTCACCCCCAACCTCCGACTACAGTACGGTTGACAAGAGGAGCACAGAACAAAACCAGCATAAATCAGCCAGCGAGGATTCCAAACAGTAATTTCTTGCAATCTATGCTGTGTAGTCTAGATGTGGTGCAATTCAGGTGGTGCAATCCATGAAGTGCAGTTTACAGCAACCCACAGCAGTGCAAGTCAAAGCAATGCACCACACTGCAAAACACTGCAAAGCATGCAACATACATACCAAGCACTGCAATGCAATGCGAAGCAATGCACTCACAGCAAATCCATGTAAAGCAATGCTGAGCAACGCAAAGCAATACAAAGCAATCCAAAACAACGCGAAGCAATGCATCACAACGCAAAAAACTGCAAATCGATGCCAAACAATACGAAAGGGATTCAACGCTATGCCGAGCAATGCAAAGCACAGCATAGCACCGCAAAACAATGTCAAGCAGTGCAGCGGAATGTGTTTGCAAAATCACGCGATAGCAATGCAGTGACGCAAAGCAGTGCAAGGAACGCAGAGCAATGCAAAGCAACGCCAAGCAATACCGAGCAATGCAAAGCAATGCCAGCAATGCAAGGCAATTCAAAGCGAGCGGCGACGAGACGGTGGGCGGCGACGAGGCGGCAACGGCTGCCACGAGGCGGCATCGGCGGCCACATGGCGGCCAGAGCGGTCCGCAGGCCCAGGCGACGGGCGACGAAGGCGACGGCGGCCACATGGCGGCCAGAGCGGCCCGCAGGCCCGGGCGACGGGCGGCTACGGGCGGCGACGAGGCGGCGGCGGCCACATGGCAGCCAGAGCGGCCCGCAGGCCCAGTTCCGAAGAAGACATACGAGAAGCCCTGATTGCATGCACTGGCTGGGGAATTCATATAGACACCGATACAAGATAATAGCGCACAAGAGAATACAGCATAACATCCTAGACCATACTAGAACACAATGTGGTACTGGATTCATGGCAGAAGGTGGTAGCCATATGAGCCATGAACAGAGCGGAACACACCGGAATGTACTGTCCATGGTGTTAGACACACGTAGCAGAACATTATACGTTGTGGTATACTTTGGCGGAATCGAGCGGGACAACTTAGAATTGTGTGGAGCTGGGCGTCACGACGCCACGCCGTTACCACTACAAAGCGGGACCATGACTACAGAGTAAACTATACCATAATATACGGAATCAGGTTTACACAGAAGCGGGGATACCATACTCTGACGCAGACTACTACTACAGAGTGGCAGCGCCTAGGACATATCATGCAAGACATGGCTACCACAACAAAACACATGTGATAATGCAAGGTGACAATGTACAATTCACAATCCCTGGGCCAGACAAAATAATAACGTAACACGCCATGTGAGACGTGGGCCGAATAGTATGGAATAAGAAATAAGACAAGATAACATAGTTGGGCATGGTCGAGCACATTCGAACACACGAGGGCAGGACAGGGCAGAACAGAGCAGGACATACCAGGGTATAACCACACAGTACGAGTATGGACATATAAAAAAAGCATTCAAGGCAGGTCACTTGAAACTATACTAAAACAGACTACGATCCAATGGCATTACAGAGAGTGTAAACAGAAAAAAAGTCACATAACAAATCATACGCTGACGCAACACGGCAACTGGTAGTATACTGTACAACAGCAAACCATAATACCGTAACATGCAACAAGGTGTGGTACAGCATAATATGAGAACACATGCCGTATGAATGCCAGGAAGTCGTACATGGATAATGGAAGCGTAGCAACATTGCAAGCGCAATCTGGCATTGAACGGTTCGATATGGACGATGGGTGAAATTGGCACGGAACGGACATGTAATGGAACGAATCGGCATGGAACATACCATAACGCAGTATGGCCGAATCGAAGAGGAAGTAACATAACGTAACATAACATAATCTGCAACACGAGGGAGTAACACATGGTATACTATAATAGCAGCGGCATGTAGCACACAACGTATAATACACTCGTCCACATTTCTCTTCGCCACCATTTGCTCCGTCCGCGTCGTTTCAGTAGGCGCTCGCATCATTGGGAACAAACGCGGAAGCTTTCGGTTGGGATCGCCCGAAGCAAAATACCTTTGCATCACCCTGGCACCCAGGGATACGAATCGAGAGCCGATCGAGTTGATCGAACATTGATCGTGACGGACGCCGGGATCTGAGGGTCATCCTTGATGACGGGCGACAACTCCGCGGAGATGTCGGAGCGGCTCCAGTTTCGCCCCAAATCCGCTCAAGATCGACCCGCGGACCCTTCCCGGGATCCATTTTTGCACGTTTCTCAAGCTGCGTTCAGCCGTTGCATCGAGGACCTCCGGAAACACTCCCTATAGGCATCCGCAGCAATGACGTCGCCGTCGTCATGGCTGCGCGCACAGGGGGGTATAGGGGAAGAGGGGGGAGGCTTCGGAGGAGGAGGCTGCTCTCTCGAAGGCGCGGGCCCTACATCCGTAGACAAGGCCTGCGTCTTCCGAGGAGTGCTTCTAAGAAGCCCTGCCCCCTCCCCGTACCCCCCTCTGCACGCGGCCGAGTCGTCGACATCGGAGGAGGAGGAGGAGGAGGAGGAGGGGGAGGAGGAGGAGGAGGAGGAGGACGAGGGGAGGAGGAGAGGAGGAGGAGGAGGGAGAGGAGGAGAGGAGGAGGAGGAGGAGGAGGAGGAGGAGGAGGAGGAGGAGGAGGAGGAGGAGGGACGGATAGGCCAGCTCCGGGGACCAGTCGGAGCGGCCCTGCGCGGGCCGCCGAGGGCCGCCGAGGGCCTCCGAGGGCCGCCCAGGGCCGGGGGCGGCCGAGAGGGGGGCGCGTCCAAGAGGGGGGGGCGCAAGTCATGGCCGGCGGCACGTGCGCGGCCCCAGGGGGGGCCCAGGGACGTCCTGAAAGGAGAAAGGGCGCTGTGACATCTGGGGAGATATCGTGATATCATGGCCCCCGCCATGATCTCCCCCCCCCCCCAGTCATCCCCCCCCCTCTTTGCCGCCCCCGAGAGGGCCGCCGAGGGCCGCAGAGGGCCTCCGATGGCCGCCGAGGGCCGCCGAGGACCGCACCGCCGAAGGCCGCCGAGGGCCGCCGAGGTCCTCCGAGGGCCGCCGAGGGCCGCCGAAGGCCGCCGAGGGCCGCCGGTGGCCGCCCGCCGGGCCGCCCGCCGAAGCCGCGAGGGCCTGCTGGCGCGCCGCCGCGGCCTCGGCCCGGAGCTCCCCGCGCAGCTCCTGCGCGAGGCCGGCGGCCGAGGCGCGCAGGCAGCGGCGCAGGTCCTTCGGGGGAGGAGGAAGAGGAGGGAGGAGGAGGAGAAGGGAGGAGAAGGGAGGAGGAGGAGGAGGAGGAGGAGGAGGAGGAGGAGGAGGAGGAGGAGGAGGAGGAGGAGGAGGAGGAGGAGGAAGAGAGGAGGAGGAGGAGAGGAGGAGGAGGAGGAGGAGAAGGAGGAGGAGGAGGAGGAGGAGGAGGAGGAGGAGGAGGAGGAGGAGGAGGAGGAGGAGGAGGAGGAGGAGGAGGAGGAGGTCGTCGAAGATCGTGGCCGAGGATCGGGAGATGTGAACAAAAGCACACCCCGAGGCCTCCAGAGGCCCAGTCCCGCAGGCCCCTGCTGAGCCCAGCGCGGACTCCTGGCCCTGGTCAGGAGGCCATATGCACCAGGATCTGAGCCCAGAGTGGGCACGCGCCAGCCTGGGGTCTGTGCGCCACCCTTCGCCTTCTGCAGGGGAAGGGAGATCGGCATAGACGTAAAGTGTTCGGAGCTCCGCGCAGATTTCTTGGATCGGCGCTGGACCCCCCTCCCTGGAGTGCGGAGCGCGCGGCACCAGAGGCGCCGCCAAGGGGGACCGTAGCGCAAATCCAAGAAATCTGCGCGAAACTCCGAACGTTTACGTCTCTGCAGCTTCCGCGTCTTCGATTTAGTGGGGTCCTGCGCCAGGTCGCGCCCCAGGTCCTGGAGCATACGCGCCCCGCACCTGCACTCGAAGGCGGGCGCGCTGGCGCCCCCGCCCCTGCCCCCGAGCGGCCTGCCGCCTTGGCCGAGGGCGCCCCCGCACGTGCACCTGAGAGGGGGGGGGCTCTCTTGAACTCTCTTGCACGCCGCCGGTGCGCAAAGTAGGACGCCACACTCTTCCTCCTCCTCCTCCTCCTCCTCCTCCTCCTCCTCCTCCTCCTCCTCCTCCTCCTCCTCCTCCTCGTACTCTTCTCCTTCTCCTCGTCCTACTCCTCCTCCTCCTCCTCCTCCTCCTCCTCCTCCTCCTCCTCCTCCTCCTCCTCCTCATCCACGGTAAATGCGTAGGAGCGGAGAGCGCCACACTAAGCCGCTGCGCCGTGGCGACCCCGGCGTTGGCTTCTGACCGCTGCGCGGGCACGTGAAGGCTTGGTGGCTTCTCGATCGCCATGGCCTCGCTCTCTGTCGGCCGTTTCTGCGCCACGGGCAGCGTTCGACCACGAGCGCCCGCGGCGGGGTCGCCGCCGCGTCGGCACGACGCGAACCTGTCGTGCTGCCAGCCCGTACAGTAAGGATGCGCGGTAAGGATGCAAGGGCCTTGGAGGGCCATGTTGACGTTTTCCGAGCGAGGTTGGTCAACGAAAGTAGCCAAGGTTGGGCCAAAGGGGCCGGGGATGCAAGGGCAGCCTTGGCAAGTTGCTCATCCTTACTCTGCGGGTTAACTGCACTGGCTCAAGCGAGGCAACGACCTGTGATCGGCGATGCACCGCCGATGGATCGGAGAGGTGCCCCTGGTAGCGAGGCCGCACGCTCCAGGGCAGCGTGGGGCACCTGAGCCCCGATGTGCGGCAGGCAGGCGGGCATTCAGGAGAGACAAGTGTTCCACTACCTCCCGCTAGGGGGGTGGCCGCTCCCTCCCCTCGAGCTCGTGGCGCCTCCTTCCGGGAACGAGGTGCCGCCAGCTCGAGAGGGTGGAGCTCTGGGACAGCCGCCCCCCTAGCCGGCAGTAGTGGTACCTCTGTCTCTGGTGAAGCATGGGCCGATGCTCCCAGCCCCTGGGCCAAGACCCCCCGTCTCCCGGAGGAACAAACAATGACATAACCATACGGGCGTCTGGGAAGGCACGCGGAAGGGCGCACTGGGGGGACTCCGCTTCCCCCTCGGAGGTCCCTTCCCCTCGGAGGTCCGCGCGGATTGCTCGGATCGGCGCGGGCCCCCCCTCGCTGGCGCGCGGAAGGCGCCAGGGGCGGCGCCGGAGGCACCGCTGGGGCCATCCAGCACCGATCCGAGAAATCGGTGCGGACCTCCGAGTTTTCATGTGCATGCGAAACGAAACCAGGACGAGGATCAATTCGGGTGAAAAAGCATCTCTGAAGTCCGGCGGCTCTGGAGGATGTACGGGGCGCCGCGGCCTTCTCAAAGCGCTCCGGAACGCTCTGAGGACATTCCGGAACGTTCTGGATCTTCGTCCTCCGTGTCCTCCTTCTGCACGCCCTCCTTGTCAAATGTATCCTCTTCCTCTTCGTCCTCTTCCCCCTCCTCCCCCTCTTCCTCCACCTCCTCCTCCTCCTTCCACCCCCCTCTCTCATTTACGCCCCGCCTGTTCTCCTCATGCACCTGCCTTTCCTTCTGGCAGGGGGGCGCGTGCCGATTTTCCTCGGCGCCCTCGTGGTCGCGCCCGGCAAGGGCGCGTTCTCCGATGGCAAAATCGCGAAGCCGTCGGGGCAAAGGCCGTTCGGACAACCCCGCGAGCCGCTCGGGAGCGATAACAAGCCGTTGGGACTACCCCGCAGGCACCGAATTAGTCCGGCCGCGCTCAGGCGGGAGGCAGCACGAAGTTCAGATCGGCCGCGAGCTGCTCCGCCTCAGCCCTGGAGGTCCACCGCTATCTTGTAGAACTCCTCGAACAACAAGTGACTAGGGAGGGGGCTCCCGCCTGAGACTTCCTTGCAACTCGCTCACGGACGCGCGAGGGACGCCTCGTGATGTGCCCCCGTGGGGTGCTCAAGTGCTATGCCTGGTAGATATTGCCGATGACCCACTCGGATTGCCAACACGAAGTGCGGGCCCGCCTCATAGGGAGGGGGCTCCCGCCCGAGACTTCCTCGCTAGCCACTCACACACGAATCCCCCGCGTGAGACTTTCTCCAAGTTCAATCCAAAGGAGCCGAAAAGTGAAGACACTTACAAGCTCCCGACGACCCGCTCGGATTACATCATGAAATGCGTACCCCATGGGGGCGAGACTGTCGCTTGATACTTCCTCGCAATTCACTCACAGACGAAGCTCCCGCCTGAGACTTCCTCTATATTCAGTCCAGAGGAGCCGAAAAGCGACGACGGTTACAAAGATTCCGACGACCCGCTCGGATTACCGACATGAAATGCGGACCCGATGAACCCCTCGGATTACAAATATTAAATGCGGACTCCATAGGGAAGGCGCTCCCGTCTGAGACTTCCTCGCATCAGACGAAGATCCCGCCTGAGACTTCCGCTATATTCAATCCAGGGGAGCCGAAAAGTGACGGCAGTCAGAAGGTCCCGATGACCCGCTCGGATTGCCAACGTGAAGTGCGGACCCCATAGGGGGGGACTCCCGCCTGAGATTTCATCGAAATTCGCTCACAGACGAAGTTCCCGCCGGAGACTTCCACCATATTTCAGTCCAGAGAAGCTTAAAAGTGACGACCATTACAAATTTCCGATGGCCCGCTCGGATTACGAACATGATGTGCGGACCCCATGGGGAGGGGGCTCCCGCAGGAGACTTCCTGACAATTAACTTGCAGACGAGGCTCCCTCTTGGTTCATGATGGCGATGGGATGGTGGTATTTATGAATGTGTGATGATGGTGATGGTGATGGTGATGGTGATGGTGATGGTGATGGTGATGGTGATGGTGATGGTGAGTGATAGTAAGTGGTAATTGGTTGACGATGATGGTGAACGATGATGGTATGGAAAAGAGGATGTATGTGTGAGCGTGCTGATCATTATGACTGAGTGTGTGTGTGTGTGCTGGTAGTGATGCTGGTGGTGCTGATGATGATGAGTGTGGTGACGTTTGCGATGAAGATGGTAATGAGGTGGAGGAGAGGGGGGAGGGTGGAAAGTCATCCTGCGCGGAGGTGTGCAGAGAAAACAAACAAAAAACACTGAGGATGTGAGGGAAACAGGGCTACTAGCCCCGCCCCTGTATGCCATTGCTTGTTCCCCTCTCTCCTCTCTCCCACTGGCGACCGGCGGTTCCGGGCAAAGGGGGTCTTTCGTAATGGGGTCGCACAAACATGCAACAGTTCATACTGTGGCGTACAGTCGGGGCGTTGACCCAAGGAACCCCAAGTAAGGAACGAGGCCCCTGTTCTCCATAAGTTGAACTTCGATTTCGTATCGAAAATCTGAGGAAAATCCAAGGCAAGCCGCGAAACACTTCAGGAACGCGGAGCCCCTCCCCAACGAAAAGGGTTCCTTCGGGGATGGACAGACCCCCCTTTTAGTAAAACGTGGTTTAGTGAGAACGACCTGAGGCCCCAACCTGGCGGGCGCAAGCCTGGAAAATAACGGCCACGGCGCCCTCTCTCGAGCCGAGAACGGACAATTCACTAATCGACGTGTCACTGTTGGGGGTTCTGTCCAGCCCCGATCCTTCTTCAGGGCCCCGACTGCATGGCGCGCGGCAGCCACACGAGGCTCTCGAACACGACGTGCGCCCCCCGCACGCACGCCCTGCAAGGACTCCTTCGCACTCGCATGCCCGAGACCCCCTCTTTGACGAGGACCCCTTCAGGGGAACGGGCAATGATTGGGCGCCCGAGTTACCCCTGATGATTCGGGGCTCTGAAATGACATAATCAGCATAAAAACTCGGAGGTCCGCGCGGATTTCTCAGATCGGCGCTGGATCCCCCTCCCTGGCGCGCGGAACGCGCCAGGGGCGGCGCCGGAGGCGCCGCCAGGGGGTCCAGCGCGGATCCGAGAAATCCGCGCGGACCTCCGAGTTTTTGTGTTCATGTCACTGTTCGTTCCCCTGCCCTTCGCCCGACTCCGGCACCGCCCCGGAGCGCCTCGGCCCGAGCCGCATCGGCGATGCATCGGCGATGCGGCGCGCGATGCTCCGACCCCATCTAACCATCTGCTCCGACCCCATCTAGGACTGGCCATCGCTCGGACGTCCATTTCCTGTGTTTTTTTCGGTTTCGTGCGTGGGTTTTTTCGCCAAATGATCAAGGATGCTCCTCGATGGCCCTCGCCGAAGGAAAAATGAACACGTCCGAGGGATGCCAAGAGGAGGCCTGGAGACACCGCCCCGGAGCGCCTCGGCCCGAGCAGGTCGGGCATCCTCTCCAGGCCGCTCGCCTCCGCGGCTCCCAGCAGCGCGCTCGGAGGGTGCGCCACGGCCTGGCGCCCGGGCGGCGCGGCCGGCGCGAGCCTGGGCCCGAGCACGTCGGGCATCCTCTCGGGGGTCGTTGATAGACGAGCGCGCTCCAATACTCGCAGAGTCACTACTCGCAAATGGCCGGGGTCCGCCGCGGGGAATCCCGCCAGCCCTTTAGGGCGTAGGTGGTCTAGGGCGTTTTGTCTTCCATCTGCCCCTCTTCCCCTTCGGGGAGGGGTGAACCCCTCCCCCTGCCCCCTCCCCTGGACCTGGATGGCCGGTCGCGAGGTGTCAGAAGCGTCCAAAACGGCCTCGGCGAGGAAGCCAAAATCATTGGTTTTATTACAGTGTTGGCCCCATTTGGCCTCTGGGGGGGGGCACCGCTAAATAAAGCTCCCCTCTTGTTCGATCGATGTCCTCCAAGATGGACCTAAGATGGCCCCCAAGGCTCCCAAGGGCGCTCCCAGAAAGTCCCAAGAGGTGCCCAGGAGGCCCCAAGAGGCACCCAAGAGGCCCCCAGGGTGCCCCCAAGAGGCTCCCAAGAGACTCCCAAGAGGCCCCAAGAGGCCCCCCAGAGGCACCCAAGACGGCCCAAAAGGCCTCGGCGAGAATGCCGAAATCATTGCTTTGATTAATCAGGTTTTGGCTTCAGTTTGGCCTCCTGGGGTGGGGGGCACTGATTAAGATGGCTCCAAGAGCGCCTGGGAGAGCCCAAGATGACCTCCAAGACGGCTCAAGATATCCCAAGGATGCCTCAAGATGGCTCCCAAGATGCTCCAAGAGGCTCCAAGACCGCTCCAAGACGGCTCCAAGTGGCCAACAAGCTCCCTCGAGAGGCCCCGAAGAGGACAACATCCCTCCAAAACCTTGAAAACATCAGTGTTTTTTGAGGGGCAACGCTCATGAATGCTACCCTCTTGTTCGATCGATGTCTTCCAAGATGGCCCCAAGAGCGCTCCCAAGGCTCCCAAGAGCGCCCCAAGAGGGCCCCAAGAGACACCCATGAGGCCCCAAGAGGCACCCAACAGGCAAGAAAACCTCCCGTCATGAGGTTGCCCTTGCCCGAGAGGGTCTGGGCTTCTGGCAACACCCCATCCTCTCCTCGCCGCCCGCCTTGGCGCGCGGAGCGCGTTGGACCCCCCTCCTTGGACCCCCTCCATGGCGCGCGGAGCGCGCCAGGGGCGGCGCCAGAGGCGCCGCCAAGGGTCCTCAGCGCCGATCCGAGAAATCCGCGCGGACCTCCGAATTCTTTGTGTTTATGTCATTGTTCGATCCCCTACTTTTAGGTCGGGCATGTCCTCCTACAAGCGGATTTGGGACAAAAAACCTAACATACCCCAACAATGCTCAAACATCATTTAAAACATGGTAGAACCAACCCCCATACTATGTTTTAACCTTTTTGTTTGTTTTTCTCCCGCAATGTTGGAGGGGAGGAGGGGGAGCGGACACATCAGCACGATGACACACTCGGCGACGCCAGTGAGCCACCTCGATCGATGTTTGATGACTCCTCCTCTAGAAGGGCAGGCTCGACTTAACCCTACTTCTGGCAACACCCCATCCTCTCCACGCCGCCCGCCTCCACGGCCCCGAGCGCGCCCCCGACCGCGCCCGGGTGGTGCGCCGCTGCCGCCTGCCGCTCCGGCGGTGCGGCCAGGCACGGGGCGCTGCCGGCGCTGGGGCTGCGGTGCAGCTCCTCGGGGCAGGGCGAGCCGAGACGGCGGCAGCTCGAAGTCGCGGCCCTCCTCCTGCTCCTGCTCCTGCTCCTCCTCCTCCTCCTCCTCCTCCTCCGCCTCCTCCTCCTCCTCCTCCTCCCTCCTCCTCCTCCTCCTCTCGTCCTCCTCTCGTCCTCCTCTCGTCCTCTTCTCCTCCTCCTCCTCCTCCTCCTCCTCCTCCTCCTCCCTCCTCCTCCTCCTCCTCCCTCCTCCCCCCTCCTCCTCCTCCTCCTCCTCCTCCTCCTCCTCCTCCTCCTCCTCCTCCTCCTCCTCCTCCTCCTCCTAAGTATGGGATGCAGATCTACGAGTGTTTTGGGACGCAGTTACATCTAATGAGGAGGAGTCTAGGATTTGTCTCTGGGGCCTCTAGGAAGGGTAGGTGCCTCGCCACGCTTTTGGACCTCAGGTCCAAAGGCCGAGACCTGGGGATTAGCCCCTCAGTCTCCAGCCTCCAGGAATGGCTGCGCACCTGGATTCACGAGCCTCGGCTTCGGTCGGCCAGCTATTCGGAAGGTTTGGCCAACTTCGTCTGCCAAGTGAAAGGGTCTCCAGGTGTCGGAATAAGCACGGCACATCAGGGGACCAGTCCGTGCTACTGTTGCCAGTCTGCTGCGTGTTGAGTGGGAGCCCAACGAACCTGATGCATAGCACTTCCAGAACTTAATGATATAGAGTTCAGTTCGATTGGGTTTGTCAGGATGATCTTGTTGCCATGGATCAGGCTGAAGACTTAATTCGAGACTTTGGCGAGGCCAGTGCTCAGCTTCTTTGGCGTGTTGCTGCACAGCACTGGTGCGGCGAAGGTTTCGAACGAGGGGCCGACAATCGATTTCTTCGCTATCTTCCCAATCAGTTGCAATCGGTCAGGAGAGGCAGGCAGCTCGCAGAAATCCTTCTCAGTATCGCGGAAGGTGGCACATGGACGCAGTCCCGCAAGCTAGAAGCAAGACTTATTCAAGATGCCCTTCGTTTTCGCTTCAGGAAGGAAATAGAGGCCCCGCTGCGCCGGTTCTTGCTTTGTGAGTGATCTGTTGAAGGTCGCGCCTGTAGTGATTCCGACCAGCTCGTATATTCAGCTCTCGCACAAGGGGAGTCTCAGCCATGTTTATGGTATCGGGGACCATTGCCATGGCACATGACGGCGGTAGACCCGCCACCTCAGGTCGAGGCTTGAGAACTCTTTGGAGGTCTCGAGGGGGCCCCGCAGGCGGGCTGTTTGGGGGAGGGTGCTGAGGCGCATACCCTGGCAGTCTTCGGGGACGCGCCGGGGGGGGCCCGACTTTCGCACCGAGCAGCTCAGGCGTGGTGGGCTCTCTGTGGTGGCCCTTCAGAGTTTCGATCCTTCGGTTTTGGGGCCGTACTTCGGAGGGCCACTTTGCGGCGACCGTCAGACTGTTCCTCGGGGCGAACTCCGAGCGCTAGAATTCGCCATTCCTTGTAACAGAGGTTCGCTTGTGTATGTGACTGACAATGCAGCAGCTGTTCTTGGATGGCATGCCAGGGCTTATGTGTCCCCTATCGGCAGCCTTGCAAGTATTTGGTGTGATATTGGCGCCCTATTACAGGCTCGGGGTGCTGCTTCTGTGACTGTGCTGTGGGTCCCGTCTCATATTTCCCCCGAGGAGTTATCGGCGTCGCATGTGCCCGTGCAGTTTTGTATTGGTAACTTTGTGGCGGATGAGGTGGCAGAAGAGATGGCGGTGAGAGCTAGAGTGAGCGAGGTGCAGCGCGGGAAGGTTTTGGAGGCGGAAGGTAGCATCGGGTTGGTGAGGAAGAGGCTCATGAAGGCTCAGCTGGACGTCTTTGAGGCGCTGGACGTCTTTGAGGCGCAGACGACGACTCTCCTCCCCCCCCTCTTCCTCCCCCTCCTGCGCCTCGGCCCCCGACGGCGACGGCCGCCGCTCTCTTCTCCACCAGCCACGCTTGGACGAGGCTGGACAAAGATGCACGGTCTGCTACACCTCCGCCAGGAAGGCGGCTCGCGCGCGGTGGCTCTCTTCCAGTTGCTACTCTCCCATTCTATTCGATGGTGTGCTGACTCGTCCGCCTGAGGGCTGTGGGGTCCGTCGGAATTGCGGGGGAACTGCCAAGGAGCAGTTGCGTGGCCTCAGCTCTCCATGTTCCCCCGATCTGATCACTCGCACTCGGCGAGAGTACCTCGATCGGTTTCTTCGAGAGCTCCCCCTTAAGGCGACTGGGTCTAAAAGAGGTGGATATTCCAACTTTTCTTTGTGCTGCGTCGCAACTGTTCCGCTCCGCTCCGCTCCGCTCTGCTCCGCTCCTCCTCCTCCTCCTCCTCCTCCTCCTCCTCCTCCTCCTCCTCCTCCTCCTCCTCCTCCCCCCCCCATCCCTATCCTCCTCATCCTCCTCGTCATCCTCGTCCTATCCTCATCCTCCTCATCCTC